GGCGCGGGTCCCTCCGCCCCGGGCCCGAGGGCGCCGCCGCCTTCCACTCCACGTCCAGGCCCCTGACCCACTTGTGCGTGTTCCCCGCCTAAATAAAAGTTCTCCCCGAGAGTTTGAGGGCCGAGGGCTGCGGCCCTCCCACCGCGGCCGGAGCGCGGGCGGTCAGTTCTTCTCGGGTGTGGGGGCAGGGTCTCTCCGACGCAGGAAATGCCGGGGACCGCTCCGAGGCGGGTGCTCCAACAACCTGCGCGCCCCTCGGGGTCCGACTGGCCGGGGGTGGGGGGCGGAGGTGGTCTGCTAGAACCAAGTTGAGAAAATAAGAAGTGGAGCCCTTTGGAAGGAAACCTGCGGGCAGCACGCCGGCTACCGGGCCGCTTTCTTGGCCCTCGGTCCTGGGGAGGGGCTGGGTTGGGTCCAGGAACCCACCCCCCAATTTCCTGTCCCGCGTTCGTCCTTGCAGGGTAGTGGGACCCTGGGCCCTGGAAATGGTAGCTGAGCACGTAAGGATGAGGTTGGGGTGGGTACTAAAGTGCTTAAAGGAGACTTCAGTAAATAACGCTAGTCGAATAAGCCGAAATAAAGCAGAGTTGTTTTGCTTAGTAGCAAATAAGGGTTCTTTCTCCCTTTCCTCTCTTTCTCTGCTGTTCCTCAGGAGAAAAACCCTTCTTGTTGAGGGCATTTCTAGATTGAATGGAGACAGGACACACAAGCCAAAACCCTTTCGTATTTCATCTTCAAGGTGCAAGTAAACCCAACCCGAGCATTTTTTTTTTTTTTTAAGATTTTATTTATTTATTTGACAGAAAGACGCAGGGAGAGAGGGAACACAAGCAGGGGGAGTGGGAGAGGGAGAAGCAGGCTTCCCGCGGAGCAGGGAGCCCGATATGGGGCTCAATCCCAGGACCCTGGGATCATGACCCGAGCCGAAGGCAGACGCTTAACGGCTGAGCCACCCAGGCGCCCCCCAGCCCGAGCATTTCTGGTTTATTTTCTGAGTCCGAGAACATTCGGGTTCTGGCCCCCTGGATGTTGGGTGTTGCAGCAGGGGAGGGAGAAGTGGGGAGTGCTAGGAGGAGGGGGCCACACAGCCCTGGCTGGGGAGGGTTCAGGCCTGAGCGAGCTTTATAGGATCAGGAGCAGTTGACTTCTGAAATCACTTAAAATACTTTGATTACAGCTGCAGCTGGACTTTATTTTCAAAATGGAAAATCTGTAGCAAAAAAGTAGTTATTAGAGCTCCTGATAGGCCTCCAGAGCGTGATAGATAATGTTGGAAAATGCCACGGGAGCACTAAGAAGTAGACTTTCCTACGTTTTTATCTCCTGCCCAGTTTCCCAGTGTACTTGGCATAACATCACAATCCCCCTCCCTCAGCCTTCTGAGCGCAGTGTTAGTTCTTGACCCAAACCTACCTTATCTTGTTTCTTAGAGTGTTTGTAAATGTAGCAGTATATTTTCGAGTGGTTGACAATAAAAGCTCCAGCTGGCTTAGTTTTGTTTCTGGATTCCACCTACAAGTGCCTACTCTCAAATACACCCCTTTTCTCGCCTGCTAACAGGAGTGCTCCCCCAGTTACAAGAGGCGCAGGACTGTGGAGGATTTCAACAAATTCTGCACCTTTGTCTTGGCCTATGCCGGCTACATTCCTTATCCAAAGGAGGTAATCTTCAGTGCTTCTGCTGGCAGTGAAACCACTGGCGGGGTGGGGGTTTGGGAGGGGGCTGCTGGGGGATGCCAGATGGCTTTCAGGTAGAAACCTTTCTTAAAAAGTTAGCCCAGCCTGGGAGGTGGTTCCTAAAAGTCTGATAGAAAACGCAGGCTTGTCTAGAAAGGATTTAATAAACTTGGAGTGTTGGTTTGCAGATAACACGTTTGATGTCCATGTGCTCTGAATCTCCAGGGCTTATTGAGTGCCTACAGTGGCTGGGCAGTGTTCTTGGCCCTTACAATATATGAGATGGGTGCTGTTGTTGATCCCCATTTTACAGATGCGGATGCTGGGGCCCAGGCCTGGGGTTCAACCGGATGGTTGGGCCTGGTCCACACTGTCCTTCCTGGTGAGCAGCTCCCCGGTTGCTGTGCGCACCATATTACAGAATCTTCAGGGACTTGGGGCCAAAATCCCGAATTTTAAAGGATTTTTTTTTTTTCTTTTTTCTTGCTAAAGGGTAGGACTGAGGACCACTATTGTCACGGTGCTCAAACTTGTACAGGGCTAAAAAGAAAGGAATATGGTATTTCTGGGAGACCAAACCCCAGCATTGGCTTATCGTTTCTGTTTGCTGTGTACGTGGATAAATGCACTCTTTGTGCCACGCAGAATGTTGCCACTATTTGCAAATAAAATGCTTGAATGGTCTGAAGGAGCCGTAGGGATTAGCTCACTGCTTTGGGGCAGTAATTACCTAGTTTGATTTTGTAATATTTGGGGGTATCTCCAGTTTTTAGAAAGAGTGTCAGGAAATTCTCAAAACTAATTTAAATTCATTTAATTAAAAAAAAAAATGCAACCCTTGGGGCCGCAAATGGAAGGGAGATTTTACAATCCGGGAAAGATAAGGGGGTATGAGAGGGTAGTGTTGGCATCTTTCTAGATACTTACTGGGCATCAAATGAGTTCCTGGCTCTGGGACAGGGGCTGAGGGCTCAGCAAGGGAAGGTTTTCCTCCTGGTGGGTTCACATTCTATCTGGAAGGTCATAGTAAAGTACTCATGACACCGTTCCTAAAGAGCACTGCTTACGAGAGCCGAGAAGGTCACGGTTCTGATAGCCCTTGTCTGTAGTCCTGACCTGGCTGGAGGGTGGGGGTGCGGAGCCTGGGAAGCTCTGCTTGGGGCCAGCCCTTGTTGCCGGGGACTAGTCATACCACTCGGCCCCGGCTACCTGTGCTTCTGTCCTTTCAGGAGCTCCCTCTGAGGAGCAGCCCCAGCCCTGCCAACAGCACAGCTGGCACCATTGACAGCGATGGCTGGGACACGGGCTTCACTGACATCGCGTCGGCCGTGCCCCTGCCGGTCTCCGACCGCTGCTTTGGCCACCTGCAGCCCACCCTCCTGCAGCGAGCCAAGCCCAGTAACTTCCTGCTGGACAGAAAGAAGACAGACAAGCTGAAGAAGAAGAAGAAGAGGAAGCGAAGGGACAGCGACGTGCCCGTGAAGGAGGGGTACATGGGGAGCCTGTTGAAGCTGGAAGCCGCTGACCCCTACGTGGAGACCCCCACGAGTCCCACCCTGCAGGATATCCCCCAGGCTCCCGGCGACCCCTGCTCGGGCTGGGACTCCGATACTCCTTCCAGTGGATCTTGTGTCACGGTGTCACCTGATCAGGTCAAAGAAATAAAAACTGAAGGCAAACGGACTATTGTCCGGCAGGGAAAGCAGGTGGTGTTCCGGGACGAGGACAGCACTGGCAATGATGAGGACATAATGGTGGACTCGGGTGAGTGGCCCCTGAGGGGGTCCGAAGAGCGGTCCCTTCCCTGGAGGGTGACAGCAGAGTGTGCCCACCACCCCTAGAGAGAACGGTATCGGAAGGGGGGGCACTGAGATGTTTGGAAAGGGGGTGATTGCAGCTAGAAACAGCTGAGATTCCAGGACAGGCCTCAAAATATAAAAATAAATACAGCTTCTCAGTAAACATCTCATGGTTAATTCCTGGTGCCACACATTTCAGTGTCCTTGGTCACGCATTTACTCCACTGCCCTGCCCTTCAGTGTGTGTGTGTTGAGGATCAGGCTTCACTGCAGCTCAGCTGCTCTGCTCCCCCCCGCCTCGCACCCCCGGGGGCTGGGGGAGGGACCTCGCTGGGGGAGGGAGTGCAGGCAGTGTTTGCTCTCTTCTTCACACACGTGTCTCTCCCTTCAGATGACGACTCCTGGGACCTCGTCACCTGCTTCTGCATGAAGCCGTTTGCTGGCCGCCCTATGATAGAGTGCAACGAGTGCCATACCTGGATTCACCTGTCCTGTGCGAAAATACGGAAGTCCAATGTTCCGGAAGTGTTTGTCTGCCAAAAGTGCCGGGACTCCAAGTTTGACATCCGCCGCTCCAACCGTTCCCGAATGGGCTCGCGGAAACTGTTTCTGGACTGACTGTTGGTGAGCGAGGAGAGCATGGGCGAGGAATCAGAAGGGACGAGGGGCCTTTTGGCTCCTCTTAGTTGAGCACAGAACTCTCAGCTCTGGTGCGGGCAGACCCCTGCCATTCAGGTGCCTAAGCAAAAGGGCGGGCTGTCCGGGGTAGGACCTGTATCTGCCAGTGACTGAATAAAATCCTTGTTGGCCAAAGCTGCTGCTAGAGCTGTGTTCTCTGCAGTGGAGGGGGGCTCACCACCCAAGTACAGTGGGTTCGGTTCAGCTGAAAGTGAGGGTATGTGGTAGTTAATGAATTCTTGCTATCATTGTTAACAAACTCCGCCGGCTGGAACCAGCGCTAGCTATTTTCCTGCTTCCGCTGTCTTGGGAGAGGAGATGTTCAGTTTCCCAGGCCTGTTAATGAACAGCCATACGTGTAAGCTTTTTCCCAAGTGTAAGTCTTTGACCGTAAGTGTCTGTACAGCAACCATCGAGCTGCCCCTACCTTCGTGGCCTGCCCTCTCCCTGCCTTAGCTGCTGTCTGTTTGTCCCTGCAGGCTGCCAGCTAGAGTCCTCTGGTCTCGCTCTGAACGGAGCCCTGCGGCGGTGGCTAGCTAGTGATCCCTCGGTTTCCTTCTGTTTGTTTAAAAGGGACAGTGTGTGGCCACTTCTTGGCGGAAAAGGGGTTGGTTGGGGGGGTTGAGGTGGCCCGTGTTCATAACTCAGTTTCCTGTTTTGCACGATGTAAAAAACCTGTCTTTTTTGCACGATATAGCCAAAAGTATTGGCAGATTTCTGCCGGGGTGCCCTTTCCAGTTGGTGTATGAGGTCTTAGGGGTGCCCAGGCGAGCTGTTTTCAAGCGAGAGGGCACTTGGATTCTGTCCTCCTCTCTTTCCCTCACCTTGTTCCAGTAGCAACGTAAAGGTTAGGCAGTCACGGGAACGGCGTTCCTCTACTTCATGAGGTAGAGAAAACTCGAAGGGAAGGCCTCTCCTGTGGTTGATTCTTAGGATGCCCTCAGACAGGCTGGCCTGCTGGTTTCCCGGGGCAAGGTTAGGATTTGAAGCCTTTTTTGTTTTTTTTGTTTTTTTGTTTTGTTTTGAAATTGGCGAGTGAGCGGTATGATAACATTGGCCTCCAGGAATATACCACTGTTCTGTGCAGACTTCCTTCGATCTGAACTGGGACCCTGGACCGGGGAGCCTCCGGCCTGGAGAAGCCCAGGAGTTTGTGCCTGTAGCTTGCACAGGGCTCTGTCCGAGGGCCGTGTACCCTGGGCTGCCGCCGGTGGCTCTGGGGCCTGCAGGGACAGGAAGGCTCCCACTTTCTCCAGAGTTGACAGTGCTCTTTAGCAGTTCAAATACTTTTCTCAAAAACTTTTTTTTTTTGGTAAGTAGATGGGTGTGTTTTCATACACATTGTGTCTCGTGAAGCATGAAAAGGGAAGAATGCCCAAGTTGGTCCTATTTATTTACAGCAGGGTGGACCCCCGGTCTCTCTGCTGGGGTCTTCATGTGGCACCTTCGTGCTGGGCTCCCCGGGGCACTCTTCACATTCTCTCCCCGAGGCACAAAGGGGGCTTGAACTCGAATTGGCTGATTGGAGCCCATGTTCTGCGCTAGTATCGTTCGTGCTTCACCAGCCAGCTGCTTTTTGTTGTGTTTTGTTTTTAATTCTGTTGGTTATATTAACACAGAAATAGAGAGAAATAGTTTCTGAAACCCAGTTTATCGTGAAGATCCCCAAGGGAGAAGTTATGCTGTAGAGAAAAATAGTAAGAAGCGGGCTTAGAAACCACCTTCTCCTCAGACAGCTGTCTGGCTCTGATGAGGGCAAACGTCCAGGAAAAGTTGGAGAGGAATTTGCCAAAGATCTGCCCCATGACATTGCCTGTCCAGTGTCTTCACCATGAGAATAGCCAAAGTTCCAAAGTGTTTTTCTTTTTTAAAAAAACTCCACGAAGTTTTAAAAGTGCATTTAAGAATATGTGTGATTTTAGAGCGGAACTGCCAGGCCTGGCGATTGCTGTATTGCTTTTAGAAGGTTGGATGCCTGGTGACACCTCTGGAAGGTACTCAATAGTCATTTCGATCTGTTTCCTTCATTTCCTTTTTGTTCTTTTAACAGATCTCTATCCCTGTGGGTGGTGTCCTAGGAAGTCAGGACACCTTGGTTTTTGTGTTAGCTTGAGCTGGGCAGCTGCAATCAGCTTTATGCAAATTAGGCATGGCCCATCTAGGGGCTCCTGGTTGGTGGCTAATAAAGTGAGGGGAGGGAAAGATGTCACCCCAAGAGTAAGCCTCTCCCATTGGCATTGGCCAGGCCAGACACTTAACATCGTTTACATGGTTCTGTGTGATTATAAAGTTTATGTGTATAAAGCGAAGCTGTTTCTGTGAAACTGTATATTTTGTAAATAAATATATTGCTACTTTGAGGTTCATGCCTAGCTTCAGGTGTTTGTTTTCTCTGGGGGAGGACAGTGGTGTTTCTGCTCCCTTCATCACCTCTCCCAAACCATGATGACATAGAGACTTGGGGAGGTAAAGTCTGAGTTTGGTTTGGCAGGATGAAGCGTGCCCACAACCTTTCATACACTTTTCTAGTAAATTCTCCAGGATCAAACCACAGTATGAATAGACATGAATAGCTTTCGCAGTTTCATCATGCTGTGGATTAGCTTAAGCCCCAGGGAGTGGTTACCTGCTTTGTTAAAAGCTGCAGCCTCCTCCGAGGTTCTGCAAGCAGATTTGCGGTCTCCCAGGGGTGCTCATTCTGCCCCTTTACACTTGGGGGTCCCCATCGCCTGTCCTCTTTCTCTCACTCAGCTGTGTCTGCCCGTCTCTAATCTGGGACCCACTAGTAGTCAACTAGTACCTCCTTTTGAGCAGCCAGAATCTACGCACCAACACCTCTTAGAATCTTGGAAATACTGGCCGGGTTGGGCGGTGAGCCCTGCTCTGGTTTCCAGGTGTCCGAGGCTGTTGGTGGGTGTGCCTTGGCTCGTCAAAGCAAGGAGGTGAGGGCCCCGGGCTTTCGCGAAGGGGTGGGGCTCGCACCGGCGGCGCTGTTGGGGCTGTCGGGCCGGGGCTGACTCTGGGAGCACCCCTTGTCGTGGTACCCCGGAGCCCACCTGACTCGGGTGATGCAGGTCACTGGGAGCGCGCGAGGAGGTGACCCGGGAGCAGAAAGGAGGCGGGCGCGCCTCCGCCTTCCGGCGGCCCCCGCCCGCCCCGCAGGCCCCGCAGGCCCCGCAG